TGCCTATGCGATCCACTTGCTTCTTTCTGTCAAAACGCTAAATCTCTTGAAGTTAGTAAAATCAGTAGATTGGATTCAAGATCTCAAAGCCTCCCCTAATAGGCTATGTTTTTATGGAAAGATGATCTTCAAACCATTACAAGCCATTTCTAGTTGTAGTTCTCTTGCCCTCATTAATTGTTTAACCAACATTTATTAAGCAAATAAAAAATATGGTCCCACCCTATAGCAGTAGATAAACAGAGTACTACTTCTAAGAATTCATTACATAAACATATTTTGTATAATTGGAGTTGAAAGAATAGAATGTCAAAAGTTTCCATGATGTGTGTTCGCATCTGTTCATCTGAGTTTTAGAAAATAGGGTTGAGGCCAAGGACAAATTATTACTTTCTTTCTAGCTCTGAAGGCCCAGAACAAAGTTTGCACTCATGGTAGCTGCTCAGTAGATAAAATAACTGACTGTCCCAGTAAATACAAACAACTGACTGTCTCAATAAATATAAATAACTGACTGTCTGAAATACCATGGTTACAAAACGTGGTAATAGGAATACAAAGAAAGAGGAATCAGTATCTAATTTACAGGTAGGAGTATACTAACAAAATGTTACTAATGTTATGAATTTGCAGTTGCTTCTATTAGGACATATAAGCTTAACATGAGGAGCCCTGGTGGTGCAACGGTTAAGCACTCAGCTGCTAACCAAAAGATTGGTGACTCAAACCCACCCAGAGGCTCTTTGGGAGAAAGACCTGGCGATCTGCTTGCGAAAAGATTACAGCCTAGAAAACCCTGGGGCAGTTCTACTCTGTCACCTGGGGTCGCTATGAGTCAGAATCGACTGATGGCACATAAGGACAACAACAACCAGCTTAACGTAATGTCAGTGGGAAAAATGCAGAACCAAAGAACAAATCTCACAAAGTGCAGCTCTCCTGGATTTTTGGTAAAATGCTTTCGGAACTTATGCAGGTACTTGAAATTTCTAGTCAGGAATTAAAATTAGGCAGAATGTTTATTCAGCGGGGCTCTGGGATTCCTTCTTTGGAGACGTGTAAGGAAGTATAGACCAGTTGGGTTAGGTAGCATGGTTATTTGCATATTTTTCCAATTTCTATAGTGTCTCCTTTTCACTTTGAAAAGAAAATCAAGGAAATTATTTCACACATGATCTCTCTTCTACATATGTTTCATTCTGCACACACACAACCCTCACCAGAGTCCACACATACTGTTTTTGTCTTTTTCCTAGGTGAAAACTGCCACTGTAACTGCTATAACAGGTTTCTTATGGGTTATATTAACACTATGCAGGGTCACCAACTTTCTCCTCCTTTAGCGAATTGTGCCACAACAAAACGCGTTTCCGGTTTTCCAAAAAGAAAAATGTCTTTGTAAGTGGCAGGACACAAGTGAATTCATTTAAGAAAAACCAGATGGACTCTGGTGCTGCCACTGGCTTGGAACTGAGACGGGAAGGATAAATCAGTTCTCCTTTCTCAAAGATTGTCCTCTCAGTTTCCCTTTATCTCCTTGGCCCCTACCCACCACCTATCAGTCTTGGTCTGGGAAGGCAGTAAAATGCAGAAATTACAACCAAGTAGGAACCCTGGTGGCACCAGGGGTTAAGTGTTCAGCTGCTATCCAAAAGGTTGGCAGTTTGAATCCACCAGCTGCTCCCTGGAAACCCTGTGGGGCAGTTCTACTCTGTCCTATACAGGTCACTATGGGTCAGAATTGACTCAACGGCAATGGGTTTGGTTTTTGGTTTACCATCAACTAAAATCAGCTACAGAGGAGCTGAGATGAGGCTGTTTAGGAAACTTATTTGATATTTTCGTGCATCTCTAAAGATGGAAGCAGTGAGTGGGATTTCAGAGTCACCTGGTCTAACTCCTCTTGACTGTAAGTATGCAAGTCACGCAACCAGGACTTAATGGGAATGAAATACCAAACTCAAATCAATTTGAAGTAACTTTACATACTCTCTCTTCTGCATGGGTCATTGGTCAGACCACACGTAGAGTGTTTTTCTGTTTGTTTGCTTTGTTTTTCTTCTCTTTAATTCTCCATGTGCATGCGATGACAAACTGCGATACCTTCAGAAAAGGAGCAGCAAAACAATGAGGGCTCCAGAAACCTGAAGAAGACTAAAGACTGCAAGTATTTGCAGCACTGTCATATGCAAAGGAAGGAGATTTAGTAAGTATTTTTTCCAGTGGTAAGATTTGGCTTAAGGGGTGGAACTTACTTGGGAGGCAGACCTTGGTTCAAATTTTAATTTATTGCTAGAATTTTCTAATGCTGAATTAAGCTGCCAACCAAGGTATTAAATTTTCCCTGGAGGTATTCAAGCAGAGACTGAATGGCCATTTGGAAAAGGAAATCATAGAGCCTTCTCACGTTTACAGGAGGCTGAATTAGCTGTCTTCCAACTCCGATTTCTCTTAATTTCTCATTCTTCCCGTTTCTTCAGTGTTGGCAGACCTTAAGGTATCCTCACACTAAATGTCTCCATTGCAAATTTCTGGCTTAAACCAAAGGATAGGAAAATTTTCTTTAAAAAATGTCACTGATCCTGTAGGGAGAATATAAAATTTCAACGATTGTTATTGTGGGAAGCGCTGAAGCTGAATTTAGAAACCTGCAAAATCTGTGTTTAATGTGAGAGTGCGGATTTTGGGGGAAAAGTGAGGGGGAGTTAGTGTAGAAAACATCCCCTTCCTGTGGCATACACACTACCCTCCTCGTTCTGCACTATTTTTGACTCTTCCAATTTACACGTGCCTTTCAATGAATAACCTCAATGCAAAATTTGGATTGCCTAGTGTATTTAACCAATATCAAATAATGCATCCAGTCTTAAGAAATGAAAATAGATTATGAAAATGGTTCTAGAGTTGAATGAATGGGTGTCAGCTCTCCTCTCTGAAAGACTGAAAGAGGAATGAGGTCATTTTTTAGGTATGATCTGCATCATTTTTGTCTCTAGGAGATTCAAGCCATTTGTTTTGAGATGACATTTTTCCTATCTGTTTTCTCAAACCTCACAGTCCTAATATGCCTTTTTTTTTTTTAAGGTGGCTGTTTATATTTCATTTTTTAAACAAGCGGATTGGATTTTTATTAATTATGCTATTTTGCAAGTAAATTGGATGAGTAATAATGAGCCAACCACCCTTCCTTTAAGGAGTCATTCCAAAATATAATTTTTATTTTTCAAAGAAGGTATACTATTTCCTTTGCTAAATAAATGCATTCATTACCATTAACACAGCCGCAGTCTGATCTGATTGTACAGTGAGGATACTAATCAGATAGAGAAAACTATAAAATGTATTTGACTGCGGCTGCAACAAGCCAGGTATGACAGGATTTCTGATTTAATCTTTATTTTGACATTTTTCTCTGCCTCCTTCAAGTTCAGCCAATTCACATATTTAGAGTGAGCACATCATATAAACAATAAATAGAGGGGACAATATTAGATATGAAAAAAACATTATTTTCAAATGAAGATACATGTTTATATAAATTTCATTTGCAATGGTTGTTTAGTGCTTTGAGGTCAAAAACAACGATAACAACCAAAAAAAAATAACCAAATGTGTTGCTGTCGAGTCAATTCTGACTCATAGCAATCCTATAGGACAGAGTAGAATTGCCCATAGGGTTTCCAAGGAACAGCTGGTGGATTTGAACTGCCAACCTTTTGGTTAGCAGCTGAGCTCTTAACCACTGTGCCCCCAGTGCTCCGTTGAGGTCAACAGACACGACCAAATAAACACAGCAGTGAAAAGTCAATAATTTGTATTTTAGAGTAGGAAGTTTTGGTATTTCTGGACCTACTCTAAGGTACTAGTAAAAAGTGGAAAATTTAACTTGTCATAAAGGTCAAACTGGCATGTACCATTCAGGAATGTGAAAGAGCTGGAGGCTAGGGAGGCTATTAATATTCATTGAGCGCCTGTTATTTTATTTAGTCCTTCCAATGACCCTCTTAGGTAAACTTTATTATACCTGTTCATTTAGTGAAGGAAAATAAAGCCTTAAGAAACTAACTAATTTGTCCGGGTCACACATTTGGTAAATAAATTTGACTTTGACATTCAAACCAACACCTACCTACTCCATGGCCTGGGCAGGGGCAGTAGAAGAATCATGGCTCCTGTCAGGTGGGCACCCAGTAAGGGTTGGAAAAGAATTCCTGCTGCTGCAATTATAGGGGTGTGCCTTGGCCCCTGTTTAGGCTGCATGATTTTACACATTCCTACTTACCATATGGGGCTATTATGAGATAAAAGTGAGAAAATGGGTTGCAAGTCATTTTGAAGGTAAGAGTATAAAACTTGATGGGAGTGCAGGTGCATTCCTGGTGCTCATTCTGAGGATTTTAACAGGGCCTAGTTCAACACTGGAGCCCTGGGGGCACAATGGTTAAGAGCTCAGCTGCTAACCAAAAGGTTGGCAGTTTGAATTCACCAGCCACTCCTTGGAAACCCTGTGGGGCAGTTCTACTCTGTCCTATAGGGTCCTATAGGGTCGACAATGAGTCAGAATTGACTCGACGGCAATGAGTTTGGTTTTCCTGAGTTTAACACTAAGGAGTAGGCTGGTGGTGTTGTGGTTAAAGCACTCGGCTGCTAACCGAAAGGTCAGGGTTTAAACCCACAAGCCACTCCAAGAGAAAGATATGGCAGTCTGCTTTTATAAAGATTACAATCTTGGAAACCCTATGGAACAGTTCTACTTTGTCCTATAGGGTCACTATGAGTCAGAATCTACTCATGGCAGTGGGGTTAGTTTCACAATGTAGGAATGCATAATCAAGTATATGACTATATGATGGATAGTATGTGTCTCTTTGTGTATGTGGTAGGAAGGAGTCTGGTAGGATTTGTTGAAAAGCAGCAAGAATTAAAGAAGTTTAACCCAAAAATAAATGGAATAAAGCAGGCACTGTCAAGCCAATTCTTCAGCCTAACCAAGTACTCACTCTGCAAACAGTCAGCGTTTAGGAGGTCCTGGCACTTTTCGTGGCACTTCACTCCACATTCCAAGCACTTCATGCCTTGCCGGGCAATGCCCCACAGGAGCCCTTCACACTCGTAACAGTAGGTGGGTGCAGTAGCCGTCCAGACCTCAAAATTGTGCGGGGTGGTAGAGGACATGGGGTAGATCAATGCTTGCAAGGTCTTCTTGAAAACATGCATTTTCTGTGAAGATGAGAGAAGTCACCAATGCAAGCCAAGTCAGTGAATTTGGAGAATTTTAACATAAAACAAACCATTTTATCACTTTGGCTTGAAAATGCTATTTTGACCGAACCCCTTGATCCTTGATTTAAGTGATGACAGCAAGCACTGTAACTCTGCTCACTTCTTCTTTTCTCCTACTCTGGGACCCAACTCAGTTATCGGAAAACAAAGAACTCTCTAATCTTCCAGACTGGACGTGGTTCCACTGTTGTGCATGCTTCTTTCACAGCCATTTTCATTAAAATAACCTGATAATGTCTACTCCCCCTGAGCAAATAGTCCGAGAAGCTGGACTATGTGAAGAAGAACACGGCATCAGGATTGGATGAAGACTCATTAACAATCTGCGATATGCAGATAACACAACCTTGCTTGCTGAAAGTGAAAAGGACTTGAAGTACTTACTGATGAAGATCAAAGACTACAGTCTTTGGTATGAATTACACCTCAACATAAAGAAAACAAAAATCCTCACAACTGGACCAGTAAGCAACATCATGATAAACGGAGAAAAGATTGAAGTTGTCAAGGATTTCATTTTACTTGAATCCACAATCAATGCTCATGGAAGAATTGATTTGCCCAAGAAATCAAATGACATGTTGCATTGGGCAAATCTGTTGCAAAGGATCTCCAACGTGTTAAAAAGCAATGACGTCACCTTGAGGACTAAGGTGTGCCTGACCCAAGCCATGGTGTTTTCAATCACCTCATATGCATGCAAAAGCTGGACAATGAGTAAGGAAGACCAAAGAAGAATTGATGCCTTTGAATTATGGTGTTGGTGAAGAATATTGAATATATCATGGACTGACAGAAGAATGAACAGCTCTGTCTTGGAAGGAGTACAGCCAGAATGCCCCTTAGAAGCAAGGATGGCGAGATTTTGTCTCACGTACTTTGGACATGTTATCAGGAGGGATCAGTCGCTAGAGAAGGACATCATGCTTGGTAAAGTAGAAAATCAGCAGAAAAGAGGAAGACTTTCAAAGAGATGGATTGACACGGTGGCTGCAACAATGGACTCAATCATAACAACAATTGTGAGGCTGGTGCAGGAATGGTCAGTGTTTCGTACTGTAGTATATAGGGTTGCTAAGAGTCGGAACCAAATTGAGAGCACCTAACAACGTTTCCCTGTTGTTCTCTAAGCTCTGTGAGGGTAGGGAGGATGAACATCTTGTGCACAGCTGTATCTATCTATCCTCAGAGCGTAACCAAGTCCCTGACATGACAGAAGTGCTCAGGAAACATTAGCTTAAAAAGGTAAAATTATATTACTATCTTTATTCCAAGTTAGTTCTTGATAAAATTGTGAAGTAGGTGAAAAGTATTCTCAGTGCTGACCCTAACCTTCCAGAAACATCTCTACTCCTTTGTGCCATCCCACTCTAGCCTGCGTTTCCTTACTCTTCACCCTTCCTGACACTGCACCCCTGCCCAGCCCCAGGTTATGCTTCTATAATTCATTCTGCAGGGACCTGCTCTTCTTTCAGCAGCTATGTCATCAAGCAATTCACATGGAAGCATTAGTAGAGATAAAGGCTAAATGTGACACTCTCCCATGGTGATTTATATTTTATATTTTAAAGTGAGATACTTTTTAATAGCACATAGAAGAACTTTCTAATAAGAAGCCATTGGGAGAGTGGGAAAATCTACTGAAAGAGTAGCAGGAGACCTGATTTCAGGTCCTTTGTCTTCCCTGGGGAGCTTATGCTAATCCCTAGCATAGACTCCAACACATAGTATTAAAATATATGCTTCTTTAGCCAGGAACTGTCTTCCATCTTTCTCTCCTTAGTGCCTCAACAGTGCTTGTCATTGTCCTCAGTATATACTAGGAGTATAATTCATTTTTGTGAAGTGAAGAATGTTCTGTCATTTATGAGTCTCGTGATCTAGAAAGAGACTTAAAGTCTAAGCCTTGGTTGTCTCCTCTGCCTGGCCTATCTCATGGTATTGTTTTGAAAATCAAATTATATGATGGTAATGGAAGTATTCTATGAACTACAAAATACTAAAGGAATACTAATTATCAGTATTGATGGTGGATTTTTGAAAATCAGCCAGAGGGGGATAGAAAAAAGACTCGTACTGGATGAGTCTTTATCATGCTTCTCATATCCTACTATGCAAGTGACTTCCTGAGAGAAAGCCCAGCATTCTCTGCGGTTACATTACAAATAATTTCACACAACTGTTTAATACATAATAAATGGATATTTACATAAATCCTGTAGGAGCTTAGCTTATGTTAGAAAGAAAGCATTTATATTCTGTATTAATTGTGTGCAAATCACATTTTGGAACATCCTCCCACAGTATTGAAATAACCAACTTTGCATAATTTTTTCAATTCCATAGTATGATAACAGCATTTTTTTTTTTTTTTTATTGGACATTCCCCTCATTATGTGTTTTCCTGTAATGTTTTTGGTAAGAGTACTACCAGGTCTCCTCCCAGGGAGTTAAGTCTTACCAAAAGTTTTTCTAATTCTGAGCAGTCAGATCCAGACTATGTGAGGGTCTGGTGAGCCAAAAGCTCCGTATATTTTGGATGAGTCTATAGTCTGGTCAACTATGAGAATTACTCACATGGGGATTATATAGAGAGAACAATTGGATTCATCACTTTTTCAATAACGATAGACAGAGCCTAGGATAGCTCTTGGCTTGGTTTCATAATGAAGATGTCTTGTCTTTCAGAGAAGTGTTGAGAGTTCTTTGAGAGATAGGAGCACGTATTATTCATCACTGCCTGACGCAGTGGTGAAAAACTCGGCTGCTAACCAAAATGGCGGCAGGGTAAATCCACTAGCCTTTCCTTAGAAACCCTATGGGGCAGTTTTACTCTGTCCTATAGGGTCACTATGAGTCGGAATCAACGTGATGGCAGCAAGTTTGGGTTTTGGTTTTGCCTCTGTTTTACTGCCTAGCAGAGAGGGTATCTTCAATATCATTAGAGTGAATTGAATGATCCTTGGTATAACAGATTTCCATCAGACCTCCAAGGACAGAGTCTCCTATTCTACCTGGGTTGTAGGGCGCTGTGTGTGTGAGCAGGCTTGTACTCGTGTGTGTGTGTTTAATCTGTGATTTAGCGAAAACAGTAAGAAGGGAATTGAGGCATACCTGCAATTGCATCAGGCAATTTGTTGTTTTTCTTAGCGGGGGAAGATATCAGTTTTCCTAACTCAATCCAGTACTAGGTGGGAATAAAACAAAGTTTGCTACTGAACACAAGAAAAGTTAGAAACTCATGTGAACTTAGAAAACAGAGTTAGCCAAGGGGCCATTTTTGAACATCAATTTACCAACATCTTTAAAGATTAAGTGAATGATTAATGAATTTTATCTAATCTTCTAGGTCCATTTTCTTTTTATTAAATTCAAGGGATATACAGTCAGTCCTATAAGTCCTCAGGCTATAGCAAGAGTTATACATATAAGTAACACTTGCTAAAAAGTAAACATGCTGGGGAAAACAAATATAAGAAGAGTTCTAAATAGACAACTGAGAAGATTTCACTGACATGTTTTGCTTGGTTTTGTTTTGTTAAATCACCATGATCATGCAAAGAGAGAATGAAGCTTATTTTAAAAAATAAGAAACATGGAAAATTGACTAGACAGCACATTGAAAATCAATTGAATGGGACATTAAAGCAAATCTCAACATTTAAAAGCTACTGAAGCTGGAAAAAAGCATTAGATAAATCTCTAGAGGGTATGTAACCACAATCTCAGGGAAATGATAATATAATGAATCTTTTTCATTCTCGATTTTTGGGATATGGGTATGTGTTTAACAAAGATGAAAATAACTCTAAAATAAATAATGTATGAAAGCGTTCCTTACGACAGCAAAGCATAAGATGGTGTGATGGTCAATTTAAAAACTCAGGAAATGAAAAGTTGGAGAAAGTATGTAAAAATTCAGTTGATAGGCAGGGATTTTTGATCTCAGGGGGATACTGCATCTTAGGGAAAGAAGGTATTTTCTCAGCAGCAAAATAAGACCAAATCAAACAAGATGATATAGATAGAAGAGTGTGAGATTTTTACGGACTAAGGCAAAAACTGTGTTAAGCATTAAATACAAGCCAAGTAGAAGAAAACAAGGGGAAATTCTAAAATTTGCCATGGACAATGGCAAGTGGAAGTCTGTAGTTCACCCTTAGGGGTTAGATTAAAGGGAAGAGAGAAGAATTAAAAAAAAAAAAAATGTAGCACTTAGAGTAAGCAGACAGCTAGAGATAGTAGGGCCCTAGTTGAAGGGGAAAGACGGGACTGAGCACGCTATCAAGAGAGGGTCTCTAGCCTAGGTAAAAAAGTCAAACTAGAACATGCAGAGGAAGGAGGTAGTGCCAAGAGCAAGCAGAACCCTAACTACTGAGATTGGGACCCAAGGACAGAGCAAATTCCAAAGTATGGGTGACTTGCTACTATCCTATTTCAAATGTTTCTAAACACTTCAAATATTTTACAACAAGCACATATTAGTTTCTAAAATTTATGTATTCTCTGAAAATGGTAAAAAAAATATGTTCATTATAAAAATAATTTATAAAATACAGAGAAGCACTGAAATAAAAAAAAATAAAAATGATTCAATCTAAGTTTTTAAAGTCAGGCACTGTTTGATGCATGTCCTTCCAGCCTTTTTTTTAAATGTATAGACAGAATGTAAGATCTTTGCAATTAAAGAAAGCAATAAACATTACCTGTACATTGCTTAAATGATTTCGACAAAGAAGACAATTTTCTAATGTGGAATGCCTTAACTCTAATACACCTTTGTAGCCAAGTACGACCTATAGACTATATAAGGGAAGGATGCTTACATCTTGGACAAATATTTTGGTGAAAATTATTGCTCCAAGAAACTGAAATTTAAAATGACTTGTACTAATGTATCGGAGCCCAGGTGGCACAGAAGTTAAGAGCTTGTCTGC